CTGATGTAGATTCTGACGCTTGATGTAAATAATAATATAAAGACAATCGGCTGATGATAATGCAAGAAATCAACAATATAATCTGAAGGTTAAAGCATATATCGACTAGAGGTCCGATATCATAAAATCCACAGAATAGATTAAAGCGGTGAACGGCTAAATCCAACTTATATGCAATCCTTGTAAGCCGATGCAACGTCCAGATACTTTATCGGCTGAAACCCAGATGAAACCTTTATTGGCGGTCAAAAAACAGGCTAGGGATTATGGTTCTAAACATGACTTAGTAGATCAAACTTGACTTATGCAGCACTAAGTATAAAAAGAAACACAATATCTAGATAATCAAGCCGTTGACTGATTTTTAGGGTGGTAGATGCCTTATCTAATCTAATATAGTAAAACAATTTAGCCAATACCGGCAGTAACCCTAAAGCGAGAGACAACCGATAAAGCTAAATTAAGATACTAAGACTAGATTAAGACATATGATAAATAGCCAGACAAATATATCAACCAAACCAGAGCAATCCAAGAGGTCGAATGTACCGATGCAGCCTTGAACAACGCCGACGTAGACGATACAATTGCCTGGGCCAGTGGAACATTGGACTTACCCCTTCGTTAGAGATCGAAAACCCCCGCATTAGGTGCCAAGTCCCGCCGGACGATAAAATAAAGTAGAAAAGGTAAAAGGTGGCGATACGCTGAATTGTAATTGATCGTGGAGATAGTTTACAATAACCCCGGGTGTACATATTTATACTCATAGGGATATACTAGTCCTTGTAGGACAAGAAAGAAACTTTCCTAAAAATAAAAAGAAAACTAACAAACTATTCCTAATTAATAGATAACTTGCCATGCTGTATCCTCCTTGAACTTGGTCACTTCTAGATAAGCTTCCTTTAATAGATTAATTTCCTTAACCAAATATAGCAGAAATCCGACTATTGGCGATGTGATAATTCTCTTAGGGCTTACCAAATTTCAATCTTAACACACGGTTGTATTCGTTTTTTATTAAATCTTTACAATATTATGTTAAAAGAAAAACATGTGTTTCAAACCTTTAAAACTCAATGTTTCATACTGTTGATGCGAAAAACACACACTGGCCTGAAAGATCTACTTAACTTCTGTGCAGGTCCAAAATCTTGCTTTTAGATTTGTGAGCGTGCCAATTGATTTGATCCTACAATCAACAAGAAAGAAAGACAAGAAAACCGCGGTTAAATCCATAAACGATAGCCGATCGGCTAATTGCCGATGACATATCATTTATCATCAAGCCGATGTCATATTGGGATCGATTGACAGTCATGAATAAATAAGATTAGACTAAATCTACTCGATCGGCTATAGATATTAACGACATATAACCAGGGGCGGACGTGCCCATTAGGCGGCATGGGGCGGCCGGCCCAGCTACGGCCCGCGCCGCCCCACGCCCCCACCCCCCATACCACTACTTCGCCTTCTCGCTACCGCATCGTTGCGCCAACGCTTCGTCTCCGCGAGGACCGCGACTCCGCACGCCGTCTTGCACTCTCGCTCGTTACCGCCGTCCCGCACTGCCACACCGGCCACCGGTGCACGCGACGGTGACGCCTAGCCACCGCCCGGCGCCTAGCGACGACCAACGACTGGCCCGATGCCGCTTGCAGCCGGCGCCCAGCAACTCGCTTCTCCTCGTCTCCTCCTCGCCTCCAGCCTCCTCCTGCTCTGTGCCAACGCAACGCCGTCGCTGTCAGCCCGTCACCGTCGTCGCCTTACGTTTGGTCCGGCCGTCCCGCTCCCTGGCCTGGCCGGTAGTCCGCAGCACAGGCACAACAGCAGCTAGCAGGCTGCAGGCTAGCGCCTAGACGCCTGGCGCCAACGAGTCAGCGACCTCAGGGGTAAGCCGGTAGGGGCAGCAGTAGCAGTTGGACCATTTTAATCAAATCATCCTCTTCCTTGGACCATTTTATTGTAGTCAAGTAACAAGCAAATTTGTTTGTTCCTCTTGCAAATGATCTGTTCTTGCTGTCTAGATCAGTTAATCATCTGTTTAGGTTAATGGAAATAGTAGGTACTCCTAGTTAACACTGTTCTACTGTGAAAATGGAAAGCATGCGCAGTTACTTGCATATTATTTATTTGTCCTACTGCATTTTTTGGTGTATGATGAATTTATATATGATGCAAATATTATTTCTTTGTTATAAAATGGTTTTTTTGCCTCAAATATATTTTTATGCGATTACGGCATAAATACGGTCTTTATAAAGCGAACATTTTCGCCCCATCTTATTTTTAATCCTGCGTCCGCCATTGATATAACCCTTCCTTCGATGTATATTTAAACTAAGTGATTACGATAGATCGGTCGCCATGCCGAGACAGTATAAATCACTTAAATCGAAATATACATTAAAGCAGGGGTTATATAGACGATCAGACAGATCTAGCATGTATCGGTTAATACTCCGATACTACTTTAGACTAAGATATTAAAATAAGCAAAATATATTAAACAAGAAGCCTAATATACCTTAATGCGACAAGATCTTAATATAAATGACAGATCTAGCATATCAATTAAACATATAAAACATAAAGTAGCTAAATCAGGTAAGATCGGCTGAAAACCCGATGCTATCTCTCTCGATAATCATAAAACAAGCCAGATATCACAATTATGGATATTACTCAACAGATCGAACCCAACTGATGTAACATTAAGCATAAAGATAAATATAAAATCTAGGCAAGATGATGAAAACCTCTAAGAGATGATAGATACACGATATAATCTAGATTAATAACGAAACATAACTCTATCGACTACTTTCTAATAGTACAAACCAGCCGATGACAAGTTATATAGCGCAACTAATAGAGATTACAAAACGCATATGATAACTCGACGAATTATATAAACAAGATTAGAGTGTCATAAAGATGGAAGCACTAATCCTGAGAACGCAAGCCGTCATGATAAGTTTACCTCTAGTTGAAGATCGTAATCGATGCAGCTTAACCCGAAAAGCAAGAACTCGTCGAAATAGAACGAAAGTGAAAAGGGTGGTGATGCGCCGAAAGTTTTATTGAACTGTTGTTGTAAATTGCATGGGTTCGGGTGATATTTATACCCAAGATACATGATATGTCCTTGCCGGACACGACTCTTATCTCTAACAAACTCTAAGATACACATAAGGCTTTGCGGCTGACTCTTGCCTAAACATATCTCTAAGGAAACTATTCAAAATATCCTAACTAATAGATACAATTGACTATCTGAGAGCTTATCTCCATCATGACAATCCTTGTGTAGCACGTTAAAGCAGTTTCATAACTGCCTCTAGCAAAATCGGCCTTATCGGCTGTATCGGCCATATCGGCTGTCCTCTGTCTGATCCATCTCAGCCGATGCAGTATCCAGCCGATGCACATTCCGTTCTTCGAATCTAACTCTTTGCCGAATCCACTTTGATTCCAATGCCGAACCTGGTTCATATCTTACCAAATTTGGTCGTTAACACATACGCGATAATGATATGTTTCAATGCATGTCTTGAGCGTGTTTCACAAAATTCCTAAAACTACTGCCACTACTCTCTCTCCTCTCTCTTCACCTCGTCCATGCATACATGCATGTATTTTAACGAGCTTCAAAATGATTTTTCTCTTAAATTAATTATCCGATCACACCGTTGTATTCATTGTAATTAAATCTTTACAACAAGATATCGCATGACTATATTGCGATGAAAGAAAAATATATGTTTCAAACCATTAACACTAGTTTCATATGTGATAGCGGCATGTTTCAACGTGTATTCACCATGTTTCATAGGATTTTTAAAGATTTCAATTGCTAATTTTTTGTTTCACCATATATAACTTGATGTTTCACTCGTTGGTTAATTGAAACATTTGACCGACCGAATTATTTTTTTGGCATCTGGCGCCCGATGGGAAGATTCTTCCTTTAATTACAGTAAATCATGAATTAGGGATTGATTACAATCATGCATGTTTCCGCCGTGACCATGTTTGCGCGACGACGACAGACGACAGCTAGGAGCATTGGGTCGGACATGATTCTGCTCTACCGGTGTCCAACTAAACCCATTACCATCCCTAATTAGGATATCATTTGTGTTATATAAAACGTAAAATCTAAATCGAGAACGCTCTCAATTTAGTCACAGTGAGCGACCCTATCATCCAATCAGCCGTTGTCCAGATATGTCTCGAAGAATCTTACTTTACTATAGTACTAATTGATCAAGCAAGTAGAACAAATATTCCTATCATCTATGCTTCAAATAAAATTTTCTTTTAAATTACTCATTCGATTTACAATCCGATTACACCGTTGTGTTCGTAACAATTAAATCTTTACAACAAGATCTCACATGATTATATTTTAATAAAAAACCACAAATTACTTTTATAATATATCTAAATTACTTTTAGATTTCACTAAGTTACTTCTTAAATATATAAAAGTAAATTGAATAAAGTTTTAAAGTAATTAACATATATTATATTTTTGTTATAAGTTACTTTTATATTATATTTTTGTTATAAGTTTTAAAGTAATTATTTTTAGGTTATATTGAATTACTTTTATATGTCTAAGAAGTAACTTAGTGAAATCTAAAAGTAATTTAGATATATTACAAAAGTAATTTATATTTTTTCATCAAAATATAATCATGTGAGATCTTGTTATAAAGATTAAATTGTTACGAACACAACGGTGTAATCGGATTGTAGATCGGATGAGTAGTTTAAGAGAAAATTGTATTTGAAGTGTAAGTGGATAGTGTTTATTATAGATGGAGTGGTAGCCAGCTACCACTAGCGCTAAACAATAGCGCTAAACAACACGATGCACGCTAAAAAACAGAGGGAGTATGCAAATAGCAGCTGTGTAGCGTAGGGCCTGTTTTGGGGAGGTTATAGCAGGTGCAGCTTCTCACGAAATCTTCAGCTTTCCCAAACAGTTTAGATTATCACCTAGATTCTAAGAATTTGTAATTGTAGAATCTTCAGCTTCACCAAATAGTTTAGATAGAATTCAGAAAATAAAAGTTAGAAGCAAAAAAAAATCCAGCCTTTTAGATTCTCATAGTCTGGCTACCGACCAACAAATTCTCGTAACCTTAAACTTTCTAAACAAGACGGTAAACTAGTTTCAAAGCAAGGCTTTGCTTTTTTCTAAAGAAAAAAAAAGGAAAGAAAATTGAGAAACAATTAAACAACACAAAGTTATTACGATTATTTGATACAAATGATATCCCATGGTAAGTGAAAGTACAAGCAAGAAATAACATACGCGACAACTTGACGATCGACCGAATGTCTGCAAATAACAAACCAGTAAACAGTCGACGATCGACCGAATGTCTGCAAATAACAAACCAGTAAAAGTTTATATAGGCTCGTAGCAATAGAATCCGTGCTAGCTCCTGCCTTCTTGATGATGTGACAAGCTGTTCATAGACATGTAGAGTTCGTAAGGAACAATTCACAGTTTGCAAGTACATATATAGGTACAAAGATACAGCAATCGATAGGTAGGCATATGAATACAGAATACATAAGATTTTATTTATACCTTGTGTAATGCTTATGCCTGTGAACTGTGATATCATGGCCTCATGGGGCGTCCAGCTGGCTGCTACTAGCTGGCATTTCGTTTCTCTCTGGATAGCCATAACTGTGGAAAGTATAGGTCCCTGACGGATATGATTCTCTCCTGGTCATGGATACTGTTCAGCTGACTTATTTTTACCACATGGAGAACTTGAAGACTTCCCAACGAACCATTTGGAATCTCAAGTTCATCCACTCCATCAATTTCATGTAGTAAAAGTGTCCTCAAGTTGGCAAAACTGTTAATTGCTTGAAATACCAGCTTGGAGATGCCACTGATATTATGGAGGCGGAGCGATTCAAGGTTACACAAATTTGTAGATAGTAGGACGAGCGAATCATCCCTTAGCTTGCACAAGCTTAACTCCAGAACTTTAATCTGTTTAGATTTGAAAATAGGATATTGGAATGTCTGCTCAGCCAACCCGCCCCTGATAACAAGTTTTTCAAGACTAGTAGGATTCAGGGTTTCAAAGTCAAGAGACTCCTCGTCCACACGACTTGCACTGACATGCAAACTAGAAAGACAGGAAAGCTTCGACAATGAAGAAAACAATGTTTTGCTGGATCGGCCTTCTCCAATAACAACAGATAGAGTAGTTAACTGGGTCAGCTTCTCCACATGCTTCTCAAAGGTATCACTTGCCTGCACTGTCTCGAGAGTCCGCAATTCTTTCAGGTAGTTCACAGTTTTCGGGGCTTTCACAGCTCGGTATATGTCTGGGCCTTGGCCATCCAATGTGTCAGCAGAAAGATGCCTCAATCTTATGAGTTTGCCTATCCAACTTGGCAGTTCATTTATTCTGCTCCCCCTGAGGTCCAAAGTTTGCAGGTTGTAGAGATTGGCCATGGAAGATGGAAGGCATCGTATTTGTGATTTTCGCAAGCCAAGATATCGCAAATTAAACAGCTGGTAGCCAATACCTCTGGGCAATTCTTCAAGTGGAGATTCTTGCAGTTTCAGAACAGTAAGATACTTAAGTTTGGCTGTCAGTGATGCCGGTAAGGACTTCAAATTTGCAGCAGCATTTCTGCTGGCCATAAGAGTCCGAAGGTACGGAAAATCTACTAATGCACCAATATCTTCAGGGTTTTCCGAGATAAATAGGCAGCGGACATTGGTATCCATCTCTGCTAGTTTACCACCATGGCAGATAGCTCCAAATTCTTCCTTTTGAGAGATAGATACAGCCAGCTCATGCACCACAATAGGCATCCTGCAACTTGCTACTCTACCTTGTTCGTCCACATCTACAACCTGCAGAAATCCCCAGTGGATTAGCTCCTTTATATAGCGCTCACCAATTTCCTCCACTTGCAATGATCCCTGGTTCTCGATGAAACCCTCTGCAGCCCATAACCGGACAAGACTCTCAGGCAACAGGAGAAAACCAGCCGGAAAAGTACTACAATACAAAAGGCAGTTCTTGAGATGCATTGGAAGGTTCTTGTAACTGAGATATAGTACTTTTTGCACATTGTTCAGGCTTGACTTGCTTTTTTGAATATCTTCAATTTGTTGAGCCATTTCACTCCAGACTGACTCTGTTTTTTGCTTTGAGCTGAGCAATGCTCCAATAGAAACAATTGCTTGGGGAAGAAAATTGCACAAGCCAATAATCTTCAAAGTTACTTCACGGAGTTCTATAGGGCAGTCACTTGGTCTTCCAAAAGCCTTTGTACAGAAGATATCAAAACTGTCATTAGGATGTAAACAAGTAAGCTTCATGAATTCCTTGGGGACTCTCGCCGAGGGTCTTACAGGTTCCAGCGAACTAGATGGTGTTTGGGACTGTGACTCCACTGAAGATTCACTTCTTACAAAAGCAACCTCTGGCATCCGAGCGATTATGATTATCCGGCTGCCCATTTTATTATCAGAAGCTGCACGGTGTACCTTGTGAACCATGTCTGGCACCCATACATCGTCAAATACAAACAGGAACTTGCTATCCTGATTTTCCGTCATTACTCTCAGTGAGGTACTCTCAGTGGAAGTGCCAACTTGCCTTCCTAGTTCTTCCATCATCATTCTTTTCAAAGCATCAGTGTCAGCATTGGGACATTGAGCAATGGAAATCCACGCAGAAGTACTGAAATACTTCTTCTCACTAGCATAAACATCCTTAACAAGATGGGTTTTCCCTGACCCAGGCTGACCATACACTGCAATCACAGAAAGAGCTCCATCTTTCGTCATATCTTTACTCTTTAGCGATTCAATCAGTTCTTCCTTTCTTTCGGCATATCGCTTAGTATCTATGTTGTTGACATGAGGACCAAACATTGATGATGAAGAAGCTAATGAGGTTTCCTTGTCCACTTGAACCCATCGTTTTTTCATTTTGGAAAGATGCTCCAGCTCCACCTCAATTTCTTTCAGCTGAGCAGTGAAGCGATGTGAGGCCAGTATAACCTGTACTCTCTTGGTAAGTCGATATTGTTTGCTCTGTACAATATAGACAATATATTCGTCCATTATTTGTTCAACAAGGCATCCTAGTTTCCGTGCTTCCCCAATCCAACTTTGAAGTACTTGCTTGTTATCATATCTTGTTTCTATTTGAGCCAGGAAGCAAAGGATCATGCGAAGTTCACTTTCTATTCGCCTCAATCTACCTTGAAGTTCTGCTTGCCTAAGAACTAATATATCATTACTATTAATAATCTCAGATATTACTCTGGTAAGAGATCTAATTAGAAAGGATCCTCCTTCAAGGCCATGTTCCAAAGCTGATCTTCCTTCAAGGTCATGTTCCAAAGCAGTAGCACTTCTCTCTCGTCCTAGGGCAATTCCTATTTTTCTGAGAGCTAGGTATATTGCAGTTTCTGCCATTTGCCTTCTATCCCTTAATCTTTTGACATTAAATGGTTCGTGAAACCAAAAAGGATGCTTCCACTACAGTTTGGAGTACAATACACTGAGTGTCACATTTCCTCCCTCCCTTTTTATCCTGCATGCAACACATAGTTTGGGGTACATGTTCTTTTCAGTTTCAAAAAAAGAAGAAAAAAATTCAGTAGGAGATAATCTAAAGTAATGAAAGAAACAACCTTTCTTGAAAGGACATTGGGCTACGCAATGTGAAAAACAATGACCATAAGATGAATGTTTCGATGAAAGATGGACATCTGATCATTAACATACATGCGGTAAAAAAAAAAATGCACTAGACACTTCCCTCCCGATCCTTCGAGTGTCTCCCCTCAGACATGTGGCAAGCAAGAAAAAGATTACTCCATGAAAAATAGATAATGGGCTATTGGTTTGCATGGCAATTAATTGGCATACTTTAATGGGCTGCACTAATTAAGATCAATTTTGAGATGTCAAATAAGTAAAATAAACATGAACGGTTGTTGTGAAGAAAAATAGGAATACATATTACGGTAGTACTGTATGTAACTTACGGGCTACTTCAGTTGTAACAATCAGGAAAAAATACCACTATAACTACAAGGAAAAAAAACAATCTTAAGATCTTTCAACAAAGATGGCATCTCATAGTCGCGCGAACACGCGACTCCGAGAGGCTAATCTCTATGTGAAATCTAAAAGTAAGTTATAAAACAATTATCAACTAGCCAACAGAAGGGCAGTCTTTTTATGACTGATACAATAGACTTACAAAGAATGACATCAGAATTCTCACTTGGGAAAAAAATGATAAAAGTACGCTGTTTAAAATGTGGTAGCTATTAGATGATCCATCTATTACATTATAGGGATTTGCTATTCATAACTCAACTGAAATTTTTTTGCAAGAAAAATCAGATTCCTAACCTTTGGATCCGGCAGAGATTCGTGCTCCGGCGAGATTCTTGACTCTGGCGGCCGTGCAACAACGGCAAGAGCGCCGGATTAGGTTTCAGGTGGGGTTGGGGTTAGGGAAGGGGGATTTTGGGGAGAGGGTGGATCCCCGGGTTTAGCGGGAGGCCAGCGAGGCGGCTGACCGGCGGTGCGTGGAGGCGCCGCCGGAGCCGCGGGCTGGAAGCAGGCGGTGGGCGGAGTAGGCAGCGGGGGCAACGAGAAGTCGAGTGGTTAGGAGGCGGCGGCCGGATCCGGCGGCGCTATGCTGCGGAGACAGGGGAGGGTCGGCGGCGCGGAGGCATCTTGCCGGAACTGTAGGAGACGACGACCGGCTTCGAGCGATAAGAAAATCAATAGGGAGGACGGAGGAGGTAGCCAGTGGCGGCGGCGGCGTCTTCGAGGCAGCTGCTGCGGCGCGTGTGGCGACTTGCTACTCGCGAGCGAACAGACGAGGGTGACGAGAGTGTTGCAGTTGCCTAAATATGTACTCCGTCGTATTTTTACATTTTGCTTACATGGTTTAATCATTTATTTATTTTATTAAAAATATTTAGAATTATTATTTATTTTTTTATTCACTTTTTTATCCAACGTACTTTAAACACAATTTTTTGTTTTTTGTGTTTTATATTTGAGCAAATTTTTTAATAAGACGAGTGTTTGTTTTTTAAATTTTATATTTGAACAATTTTTTTCTAGTAAGACGAGTGGTCAAACGGTGTAAATAAAATATTAAAAAAATCTCTTATATTTTGGAGTAGAGAGAGTATGTACTACCTCCCTATCAGAATATAATAATATGGGATGGGATGAGACTCATCTCAGAATAATTTATCTGGATATGTTTAGAATAGGCCTCATTTTATCCTACGTGGTTATATTTTGGGACGGAGGGAGTAAGCTCGTTTTTCTTGCTGCTTCTTTTAGTGTGCTCTAACTGCTCTCTCTTTTTCGTCGTCGTGACTTTTTTAAGTCAATTAGTTTATAGGAAAATATAGGCCGAGTATATTTCCAATTTTTTTAAAAAAAACTTTCTACTTTTTTATCACATCAAAACTTTCCTACACACGTAAACGTCTAACTTTTCCATCACATCGTTCCAATTTTAACTAAACTTTCAATTTTTGCGTAAACTAAACACACCCATAGTAGCTTTTTTAACACAAAACAAATATATTATCAAAATATATTCAATAGCATATTAGATGTTAGTAAATTTATTTACAAATTTAATCAAACCTAACAAAGTTTAAATAGAAAAAAATTAAAATAACTTATAATATGAAACATAGGAAGTAGCTTATAGTCTATATTGTACTTGTTGTAATTATGCCTCGTTCTTTTCAGCAAATTCAACATGCAACTTTCTTTTTTTAAGCACGCTTCTCAAACTATTAAATATTTGAGTAGAATTTTTCTACATAGAAGTTCCTTAAAATCAAATAAAACAATTTTTCAAATCTTTAGTAATTAATACTCACTTAATCATGTGTTAATAACATGTCTCATTTCGTAAGAAAAAAACTAACAGGATCAAATTTATAATGGAGGTGACTAATATTTATGTAGTCTATCAATAAATTAAGAGGGGTCTCGTATGTATAATAGGTTGTTTCTAATACATAACCGTTAACTGCTCTAACACTTTCATATTTTTATTGAAACTTACGTAGAGATTTTCCTTTGTATGAGGGGTGTTTTTTTCTCTTCTCCATCTTACCGTTCAGGCCACGTTCTAAACTCTAACTATTCAACTTCCTCGTTTTCCATAAGCGCGGTTCTCAGAACGTTAAACGGTGTATTTTTTTGAAAAGAATTTATATAAAAGTTTCTTTAAAATATCAAATGAATCTAATTTTCAAATATTTAATAATTAATAATTAATTAATCATGTGTTAATTGTTTGCTCTGGTTTCCGTGCCGGTTAAAATCTCAATTCCTATGCAGAAACGAACGAAGCCTAGTCCTAAATGATACTTCCTCCGTCCCAAAATATAAACATTTTTAACACAGTGACAAGTCAAACATTTTTAACTTTGACTATTAATAGCAAAAAGATAAAAAACATCAATCATTTTATCATTAAACAAACTATCATAATATACAACTTTTTATTTAAAACATATTACTATATATATATATATATATATTGTATATTGTATTGATCAAAGTAGTATATCGGAAACTATGTCAGGGTCTAAAACTGCTTATATTTTAGGATGAAAGAAGCATCCCGTATCTTGTGTTTACATGTATCACTTTATCCAGCATCCACCTCATGAACTGCCAGGGGCGGAGCCACCGCCTGGCTAGCCCAGGCAGCCTGCCTGAGCTCGCTGGCAAAAACTTCATTAAATTTTAATATTGTTGAATAAATTAATGATGTAATTTTTATTAAAAATGATAGTTATAGTGAAGTTTGCTCGGGCTAAAAAATATTTCTACTTGCGCCACTGCGACGCGGCAAATTTACTGTCGTCAGCGCTGTAAGTCTGTAACACAACTAACCATGTGTTCTAGTAGTTTTGAAGTTTCAACTCCCTCGTTTTCCAGAAATTTCAAAATTTGCCATCGAATACGCACGGTTTTCAGGACATGCCATCTAATTCGCACTACTTTCAGAATACATCATTGGGACGCGAATCTTCTTCATTCTACGCCACTCCGTCCGCCGACGTCAGTCCTCCTCGTCGTCCGTCCGTCTGCCGCCACCTGCGCCCCGTCCATCCGCCGGCGCCGCCGCGTTCTTGTTCGTCCGCCGGCGCCACCCACGCGCCACCGCCCTCCTCATGCTCGGCGTCCTCTGCCACTCGCTGTCGCTCATGCAGTCATGCTCAGGTACGCGTCACCTCCGGCGAGCACGCCATCGTCTCCGGCGACGCCGCCCTCGACCTGTCGTGTGCCTGCAGCATCGTCATGCTCATCGCCTACCTCTTCTTCCAACTCAAGACGCATCGCCAGCTGTTTGAGCCCCAACAGGTTCGTGATTGATCGATCCGATGCATGTCCTGTACGTTCGATCCATCCAACCAAATGGTAATCAGGTTGAGGATGATTTAGTGATCGCTCAAGATGATGAGCCAGTACTGGGATGATGACGATGATGCGCGCGGGGGCATACGAATTGGATGCCGGTGTCGTTGAGGATGCTGACACCGGCGGAGGCGAAGTTGGCGCAGACAAGCAGGTTCTCGCCTCGGAGGTCGGGGCTCAGGTAAGGCAGCGCGGGCATGTGAGTCAGGAAGTCGATCCCGTACGGCGGCGCCGCTCGCATCCGTCCGCCGGCGCCGCCCGCGTCCCCGTCCGCCCGCCCCGCCATCGCCCACTACCCCTCTTCACCGAATCTCGCGCGTCTCGCCGAGGAGCACCATCGCGCCTCCACGGGGAAGATGGCTGTGTCGGCCTCCTCGACCTACTCGACGACGACCTCCACCACGAGCTCCTCAACTAGGGCGATTTTGTCCAGGCGGCGTGTCGGGTGTTCGCTCGCAGTGGCCGCGTTGAGCAGGCCGTCGCCGCGGCGGCGGATGGACGGGGACTGACGCAGCTGTCGTCAGAGGTGCCGGCGGACGGACGGGGACGTGGGTGCGCGGCGCTGGCGGATGGACAGGAACGCGGCGGCACCGGCGGATGGACGGGGACGCGGGCGGCGGCAAACGGACGGACGACGACGAGGACCGACGTCGGCGGACGGAGTGGCGTAGAATGAAGAAAATTCGCGTCCCAATGGCGTATTCTGAAAGTATTGCGAATTAGATGGCATATCCTAAAAACCGTGCGTATTCGATGGCAAATTCTGAAAATTCTCCTCGTTTTCTATCAAGCTTCCAAAACTGCTAATAAAACGTTTTGTTTTCAAAAACCTTTCATATAGGCCTGGTTTAATTCCCCAAATTTTTTTCCCCAAAATATCACATCGAATATTTGGACACATACATATAGGGCAAAAAAATATAGATTAAAAAACTAATTACAACGTTAGGGGAGAAATCACGAAACAAATCTTTTAAGTCTAATTAGTCCATGATTAGGCTCAAAAGATTCGTCTCGTCGTTTCCAAGCGAGTTATGAAATTGGTTTTTCCATTCGTGTCCGAAATACTCTTTCAACATTCGGTCAAACATCCGATGTGACACTCAAAAGTTTTCTTTTTACGAACTAAACAGGGCCATAGAAATTTCTTAAAAATCAAATAAACATATTTTTCAAATAGCATCCCTACAAACACTCATAGATCGTCACATGGTGTTCTAATAAATCTTAGAAATTCTAAGAAAAATTTAAGACATTTAGCCATCGGTTATCATTTAATTTGGTGGATCCATTGTTTTCAACTATTAGACCTATTAAAAAGTTGTGAATTCAATTTATCTCTAAACAACAAGTACGGTATGTATGTCGTCGCTGATGTGATGCACGCACTTGGTATTGGAATAATTAACTATTTACCACTCTTACAAGTGGTAATTAAATATTTGCCATTAGACTCACATATCATAAAACTGCGAGTAGCAAATTTTTAATTACCACATTTTAAAAGTGGAAAAAAGTTAAATTAATGACCACTTGGTATCGTCCCCGACACGAGCGTAAGCCACCCAAGTGACTCAAAACTGCAAGCCTAGTCTAATTTGCAAATGGATGGTAAAGATACATGTTGCAAACTGAAAATATATGCTTAGGTTGGGAACCCTTCTCTTCGACATGCAAAACGAAACTCGTATTATTACATGATTAACTGTTTTTTAACAATGGATTAATATAATTTTTTAAAACAACTTACATATAGAAAGTTTTTTATAAATCACACAATTTAGTAGTTTGAAAAGCGTGTGCGCGGAAAACGAAAGAGGTGGGTTGAGAAAAGGGGGAAGAACACAGCCTTAGTCTTGGGGTCTGTTTGGTTGGGGACTAATATTGCCACACATTTTTTACTAAGGTAGCTAAGCTTAGTCTTGCCACACTTTTGTGGCAAATAAAATGACAAATTAAGCTTAGGCAATGTTTGGCAAGAAAATATAGTGTATGATATGTGGGCCAGGTGGCTAAGAGTTAGGCAAAATAGACTTGTGACAAGAACCAAACACTATCTATTAAAACTTTGGCTTGCCTAAGGTTAGGTGTAGTAAATTTAGTTGCCAACCAAACAGGCCCTTAGTCTTAGTTCAATGTATCACTTTGGTCACTTTAAATGCTCAAAAAGTGAATGTTACTCTAAAGAGTCTTAAAAAAAATTTGTCCCCAAAGGAGGGCCGTGCTGGGGCCACCCCGTGTCAGAGCAGGTACAATAGCGGGCTATTAGCCAGCTATAAACATATTTTAATGAGATAAAAGATGAGAGAGAAGAGCAGCGGGCTACAGATCTGTAGCCAACTACAGCACAGACTCCAAGACGCAATGTGTATATGACAGGTGGGACCATATGTTAATAGTATAGTAAGCAACTATTGTATGAATTGGCTATTAGATCG